GGCGGCAACGGAATCCCAGTGCAATAAGCACCAACACAACAGCAGCAAATGCTACCTTCAGCTCGCATGCATAAATAAACAGAATTAATAACTACCCAAGCATGGAAGGGTGACTTAATCTGTTTCGATTAGGTACAGCTCAGCCTGGGGCCTTTATGTTATATTTGAATGTGTTCATCATGTTTAATTAAAAACCTAATAATCTAGGGTTTTGTTTGTGTGGGTTTTTTTTTTTTTAAATGTTTTAATCTGTATTTCCTCCTCTTTATCTTCCTAAGTTCTACCAATTGATGACTTCTTGAAAAGAACAGTATTTTTAGCATAACAGATGTGAAACGAGTTAACTATCAATGTGACTCTCAGAGGCAGAAGGCAGCCATTTACTTTGGCTCCATCCTTGCCCATACCTTGGTATTTAAAGCTTCACAAACTGACCTAGCATTTCTTCCAAAATGCTTCTCTGATCGAAGTTTATTTATCCTGAAAGACATGACCCAGGCTGGCTACCAAGGTGTTGCTCACAGACACTCGGCAAAAGCAGAATTCATTTGCAGTATCCAGTACAGAATTTGACAGAAATTGGCACATTTTGGCTTCAGTTCAAGATTTAAATTATCTCAGCCCCAAAGCAACTTCAATTAGGAATATCATACATGCACATTGTCAGAGAAATAAACTGAGAGTTTGAGATGAAAGGCCTCCTATTGTGTGATTCTGAGGTCTAAGATCTCCAGAATTCAGGATTATCTGAAAGACCTAGGAAGAAGAGGTTGGGTGATAGGAGAAGGAGGAGGAGAAGGAAGAAGAAGAAGAAAGAGTTTAATGTGTGAGCTTTTTCCAAAAGTACTTTTATTATTATTATTATTATTATTGTTTTTTGGAGACAGAGTCTCGCTCCATTGCCCAGGCTGGAGTGCAGTGCCATGATTACGGCTCACTGCAGCCTTGAACTCCTGGACTCAAGTGATTCTCCAACCTCAGCCTCCCAAGTAGCTGGGACTACAGGCACATGGCACTATGTTCAACTATTTTATTATGTTTTTAATTTTTTGTGGAGACAAGGTCTTGCTGTGTTGACCAGGCTCCAAAAGTAAAATTTTTAAGGTTGGTTTCTGAGGCATTTAGAAGTTTTCCTCTTTAATGTGCTGATTCATAACTATTAACAATTACAAGTTTTAAAATGCTGGATTGAAGACACTCAATTATAGTGAAGAACTTTTTAAAAGGATTACCTTGAACAAAGAGTCATCAACATTCTTCAAGCCTCTTATATGGAGAGAAATTATCTTCATCATTAAGTCCTCACCCTTAATAAGTTTACAAACTTGGAGGACAATCAACTCGGAAATAAAATCGCAAGGAATAAACACCTGGGAATCAGAAGTCAGCACAAGGAGGCAGAGGATGAACTGCCAGTGAGCGACGCGCACAGAGGAGACAGTGCGAAGAGGGAGCACTATCCGAGGGATGGGCCAGGAACCTAACTGAGCCTGGAGAATGAGCAGGCTCTGCACTGGCACGAGAGGTTAGTTTCTTCACAGAGCAGCAGGCCTGCCAGGCCCAGGGGGTCCAGAGGCCCAGCCTGTCCGCTGCACAGCAGGGAACTCACACCTTCGGGTGCTTATTTCATCAACCCTCTAACGGAGCAGCTGCTTCAAAGTATTCATGTAAATGCCGAGGAAAACCCATTCATCAAGACTGTTGTAGTCAGATCAGACACTGGGTAGTTAGAACAAATTAACACACCAGTGGCAGCGAAGTTTAATAATAACTAGCCAGGCATTGTGGCTTGCCTGTAGTTCCAGCTGCTCAGAGGCTGATGTGGGAGGATCACTTGAGCCCAAGAGTTTGAGTCCAGCCTGGGCAACATAGCAAGATCCCCATTTCTTAAAAAATAGTAATGATAATAAAAATAATTAGAATGTTCCCAGTATACAGAAAACCAGGAGGAAAAAAGGGAGATAGGCCCATGTACTTATGTTAGCTGGGACACATTTGTTTTGCTTATTCCTGTGATTCCTGAAGTGAGAAAATGTGGTAAATTCAACAGAAGGGGGCCACATGAACACAGCAGGTGTTTTTTCACAGCCAAAGCCAGGCGAGGGTAAAGAGGGGACTGCCTTGTTGCCACATAAATCTCTTCAAAGATTTGATTTGGATCCATTCACCAGAAGCTTCCTTCAACCTCTCAATTATTCAGTCTGTCTCTCTTCTTCACTGCTGAGGTTTTCAAAGTGAAGCTTCACTTCCTACACATAAGGGAACCATTTGATCCTGAGGCTCTGCAAAGGCTGGACGACTGCCAAGACATTTCTCAAACCAAGAAGCAAACATGATAAAAATGACCCCAAACGGATACGGATGTATGCAGTTAAGGATCATTATTCCATACTCAAAATATTCACCACTTTGGAGTCATGTTTTGTTTTTCAAAATAAAGCAAGGCTGTTTCTGATGTGCAAGGCTTCCCTCTCAGCTCACAGCTACAAATCCCCAAGTAGCAGCAATGGGGAGATAATCAACAGCTGCCTGATGTTACAAGCAGGCGCTTCAGGAAAAGGAAAGCAGCTTTCCCTTCAGCAGGAAGAGAGGACTTTGGCTGTGTATTTTTAAAATTCCAGAGGGAATGAAAGGTCACAAGAGAAATGAAAGAAGGGAGAGAGGAGAGCCATGGCTGGCGAGGGGCTGGGAGGCATTAGTGAGGAGTGGGAGGGTGGGAGACCAAGAAGAGGCAGAGAGGTGGGGAAAGAGAGAGGATGCCAAAGGGCATGGAGACTGAAGAGAAAGGAGATGGCCAGGAACTGAGGGAGAGACAGAAGCAGAAGCAGCCACGGATTGCAAGCTGACAAGGCCCTGGGGCTGCCGAGGCCAGGCTGAGAGTAATGAAGGCAATCTCACAAAGTGTGGTTAAATGACCACAGTCTATACACTTGTTCCATCCTTTTCATCTCCTTATGTGTTTCTTCCACACAGGCTTTTTGCAGAATTTTAAAATCTTGTCAATCGGATCTCTTATGCACTCCTCACATAAAGAGGCTTACTGTAAAAAAAAGAGTATCAATATGACTTCTCAAAACTGAATTTAACGTTGTCTAAACATTTTAAAATGTTTAAGATGTTTCTTTTTATTAATCATGTAAGATTTATATATATATGTGTGTGTGTGTGTGTGTGTGTGTGTGTATATATATATATATTTTTAAAAACAGCTTCATCAACTCCATAAGTCTGATAAAATTAAAGTCTTAAGGGACTATTCGACAAGCACTCCATTACCAAACCCTCCGGGCCATTTCAGTGCATCTCAGCTCCGCCTAGCTTTTTCCATTCCTCAGCCCTCACCTACCCTCACCCACAGCCATTCTAGGAGCAAATTCTCTTTTCTCTACCTTCAAGGTGCAGCCTGGATCTCACTGCTTCTTATCATGACCACTGCTGCCACACCACCCAGCCACCAGTCCCAGCCTCGTGTGCAGCAGCCCCCGGAGACCACCCGACTCAGGGGCCAGAGTGAGCCCCACTGTCAGAGCCAGTCACTCCTCTGTTCAGAAGCTGCTCATGTGGGGCACATCACCACGCCCTGACGGCAGGCCAACAGGCCACACCTGATCTGCCCCCTCTGGGACACCCCTCCCACAAGCCCACCACTCGCCTCTCCTACCAATCTCCTCCTTGCTGTGCTGGAGAAACACTCCTGCCTACTTCTTGAACATGCCAAGCATGCTTTCACCTTATGGCCCAGAATTCTCTAATATCCAAAAGGCTGCCTTCCTCACTTCACTAAGGTCTCATCTAAATGTCACTTACTTACCAGGGCTTTCCTGATCCTCCCTTAGCTAAGATAGTACCCCACCCAGCTGATTCTCCCTCATTACCCTACTCTGCATCTGCTTCACCATCCCCTGACACATACTCATTTACGAAGGTCTACCCTCTTAAAACTTAAGACTCACAAGGAGGGACAACACCTGGCGCACAGCAGGCACTCAGTAAATATTGCTGAATCAATGAAAGAGCGGGATCAGGAAAGCACATACAATTTCTAAACATTCTTTGTTAGCATATTTTAAATACAGGAGAGGAACTTGCAATCAATAGGTGTATTAGTGCCAGCCTTCATTTAAATTTCACTCAACCTGAAAGGCAAATGTCAAGCGGTAACATTCATACTGAAGACTATATTTGCAAAAGCACAAGAATTCTGTAAGTCGTTTACAGCAATGCCTTTTACAAGTCACAAGATGGAGATGTAGCTTCATTAAAACTGTCTGCTGGATGGGAACCCATGGGTTTGCAAGGCCGTATTTGTGGGCACATTTCTCTCTCCCCACTTCTTTCAACAGGCCACAGCAACACAATCAATATGTAAAATCCACGGTATTTATTTAATCAACTCTCTGCTTCCCACTTGTAGTCAATGTCCTTTAGGAGGTCAGGGGTCTTATAAACCCTATACAAACAAGTCACCAAGCCAAGCATGGTAGAGCATGCCTACGGTCCCAGCTACTCAACAAGCTGGGGCAAGAGGACTGATAGAGCCCAGGAGTTCAAAACCAGCCTGAGCAACACAGCGAGACCCCCTTTTCTAAAATAATTACGATTAAAAAAAAAAGACGAGTCACCAACCCTACTTTAGGTTATATGTCCACGGGTTTTAACATGCTGTGTCTTTAAAGAGGGAGGTATCACAAGCTAGACTGCACCAAAAACGAATTCGAATTAACTTTTTTAGGAGTAACTATCAATTTCTCCTTTCTTTCCATGAAACCTGGACAATCTTTCCCATCATCTATGAAGTCTAATCTTACTAAAATCAAGTCTTTCTGTACAATTATGAGGCTGAAGGCCCCATCCTCCTGCCTGGTGCTGCCACGGACAGCCATTCTGCATGACTGAAGCTTCTGCTTGAGTCTCTTTCCCTGAGCAGCAGGGAGGTCACACACTGAGAAGCCGGTGGCCCCATGCCCCAGAGCACAAGGCGAATGCTGGTTCCCGCTCACCACTTCGTCCTCAGTCCAGCACTTCTCGATGAGCTTGGGCACAGGCTTCTTCACCAGGCGCTGCAGGGCTTTGCCAGCATCATAACCGCTTTCATGCAGCTAAAACAACAAAAATTTTAGTTAGTTAACTGCACCAAATAACAGACAGGACACAAATCAATAAAAGGCAAGCTCCACATTGACTTTCTCTCACAGGAGAGTCAGGAAAGGGGCACTGAGACTCCATCATTTCAGTACACACGGGAATTTGTTCTCATTCAAGACCATCCTATCCCAACCCCTATTCTACTCGCTCTGGGAGAGGGAGACAGCCAAGGCAGAGAGTATTTTGGCAAAAGTAAGAATAGGATTCCCCTATATTCCCATAAAACAAACATTTAGGGAATGTTTGGCCCTGCCCAGTGCTCAGGACATTCTATGTAATCATTATCCTACCTAATCCTGTGGGGAAAGTATTCTCTCATTTAATCTATGGTTTAGGAGCTATCATCGCCCTATTTCACAGATGAGGAAACTAAGGCACAGAAAGATCAAGTAAAGGTGTTCACCACACTGAGCCAGCAGGTGGTGAAGCCAAGACTCCAACCCAGCCAGGAGGACCCCTACTCTTGCCTCATTCTCCGCAAAGCAGCATAAAGTCATACTTGATTATGTTCTTTCTTTTTAGCATTTCTTAAGTTTTTCGACTGTGCTAATTTCACACACACAAAAAAATTTAAAGTGTCTAAAATTTAAGAGCTTTTTAAAGAACGTAAGTCTGTGATAGTATGCTAGTTTTTCAGTACATATGAATAAAGATGCAGGTTTATCTACATATTCCCTTTAGGACCAGACTTGTTTCTTGTCAACGCTAATCAACTTTTCTCATCCTGCATCTTTTCAACCCTGTGTAGTGTCTGGCACCATGGACTCCTTCCCACCTTGCAAAGATGCTCCAGACACTCCTAGTTTCTGAGTTCCAACTTGTAGATGATGTAGAGAAACAGCAGGTGCAAAGATCCTCTCTTGCTTTATCTACCTCACCATACTGAGGCTGTCACTCAGAATTCTCATCGGAAATCTTTCCTTTACACATCTAGTCTTCTTACACAAAGAATGATTTTGTCTAAGACTTGTATCTCCAGTGCTGAACACAGTCCATAGTATAAGGTAATACTCCAGAAAAACTTGCTAACTTCCTAAAAAAAATACTAGATTCTGGGACACAGCAGTAAACAACACAGAAATCCCTGTTCTTATGCAGTGGACATTCTGATCTTTTCACTCGTGCTTCAATCTCTTATTTCAGCAATGAGCCAGCATTTGTTGAACATTCAGGACAAGTAAAGCTGAACATTCAAGACATGTAAAGAACAAATCTTATTAAGTCACAGTCCTTATTTCCAGGAAACTTACAAATTGGTACGGATACAAAACATACAAGATGACAAGATCAAGTAGGTTGTAATAATTACTCTCCCTTCGGTTTAGGCAAAGACCTATGGAATCACAAGAGGAGAGAGCCATGTGTTTCCTCTTTCTAACAGAAGACTCAGGAGGACATGCAGATGCCTTCCTGGCAACTGCTGGAGCCCCTGGGCTGGGCACACAGTAAGCTGACAGCGGTAAATATTTGTTGAATGAAATCAATAAATAAATGCTGAAACACACACTGCAAGTCTCTCTTCCAACTATTTAACTGCTGACGAAAGGAATATCACAAACATTCATTTTCTTTTTTTTTTTTTTTTTTTTTGAGACGGAGCCTCGCTGTGTCGCCCAGGCTGGAGTGCAGTGGCGCAATCTCAGCTCACTGCAAGCTCCGCCTCCCGGGTTCACGCCATTCTCCCACCTCAGCCTCCGGAGTAGCTGGGACTACAGACGCTCGCCACCACGCCTGGCTAATTTTTTGTATTTTTAGTAGAAACGGAGTTTCACCATGTTAGCCATGATGGTCTCAATCTCCTGACCTTGTGATCCACCCGCCTTGGCCTCCCAAAGTGTTGGGATTACAGGCGTGAGCCACCGCGCCTGGCCCAAACATCCATTTTCAATGCTTATTCAGCAAAACAGAAAGTATTAAAAATTTGAATTTCCAAAGCATTCTCACAGTTTAGAGGACATTAACTTATTTTAAATCAAGACTGGGAAGTCCAGGCTGTACATGAGCTATAACAATAAATCAACTACCTTAAAACAAAACAAAAGACCTGCCACAATGATCAACACTGGATCCCACTTGGGAGTGGTGGCGCAATGAGTAAATATTAACTTATCTATTTTATTATTATTTATCATTAGACTAATTTATCACTATCATTAGACTCTTTTAAAAATAAAATACTACTATGATTTGCAAATGTTTGAAAACTATCCAATCTAGCCTTCTTTCAGAGGTATAAAAAGATCTGAAATAAAGTCAGATTCTCATACTTTGCTTAATATTCTCATACTTTGCTTAATAACAAATAATACTTTTTAAAATATTCTCATACTTTGCTTAATAACAAGCAGACATTTGTCAAGTTCTATAATACAATGCGGATTTATAATCACAGGTCAACGTGGATGGGAACTGAATGATAGAATTACATGCCTATTTAATGCAAAAAGCACACATTTTAGTGATAATTTGAAACTAAATGAAGTTGATCAAATCATAAATTTCTAATGAAAAGCTCATGACAAAATTAACAACTTTTATAAGAGGTAATTATACTGTATGGGGTAATTAATTATAAGAAAAGTGTGAGGCTAGGCACAGTGGCTCACACCTGTAAACCCAACACTTTGGGAGGCTGAGGTAGGAAGATTGAGCTCAGGAATTCAAGACTAACCTGGGCAACATAGTGAGACCTCATCTCTACTAAAAATTTAAGAAATTAGCTGGGCGTGGTGGCATGTGCCTACAGTACCAGCTGTAGTCCCAGCTACTGAGGAGGCTGAGGTGAAAGGACGGCTTGAGCCTGGGAGGATAAGGCTGCGGTAGCCTTGATCACACCACTGCACTACAAGTCTGGGTGACAGAGTGAGACCCTGTCTCCAAAAAAAAAAAAAAAAAAAAAAAGGAAAAGCGGGAAAAACTATGGACTTCGGAGTCAAACTGCCTGGATTCCAACTCTAGCTCTAGTATTTACTAGGTACATGACCTTGAGAGAGTTACTTATCATTTTTGTGCCTTAATTTTGACATCTTTAAAAATGGATAAAACAATAACATCAACCTCTTAGGGATATGTGAGGATAATATTAGAAAACATATGTTAGCTGCATCTTTTAAAAAGAAAAGAAAAAAAAAAAAAGAAGAATTGGCCTCATCTCAAGTTTGATCAGCTTTCCAGATTACAGAGTAGTCTTCTCAGAGACAGAAAAAATTTTGTTAAGCTATAAACAAAAACCACTTATGTGTCACGTCAAATTACCCAGGTTAAATGAAATTTGATTAAAACTCTGGTATCACATACAGGAAAAATTTTGATTTTTAACATCTTGGCTGGGTGCGGTGACTCACGCCTGTAATCCCAGCACTCTGGGAGGCTGAGGTTGGTAGATCACAGAGTCAGGTGTTCAAGACCAGCCTGGCCAACATGGTGAAACCACATGTCTACTAAAAAACTACAAAAATTAGGCAGGCGTGGTGGCAGGTGCCTATAATCCCAGCTACTTGGGAGGCTGAGGCAGGAGAATCACTTGAACCCAGGCGGCAGAGGTTGCAGTGAGCTGAGATGGTGCCACTGCACTCCAGCCTGAGAGACAGAGTGAGACTCCGTCTCAAAAAAATAATAATAGTAATAAGAAAAATAAAATCTTATGTGCCTGCTACCAGGAAATTGCTCATAAGAACATAAAGCCCACTCCAAAAGCAAACTGCTGAGTGGATGAAGTTCAATAAAATATCATTAATCCCTCCAGCATTCCGGCCTTCTGGTGAACCAAGAAGAGCTTTAAACTATAGCTGGAAGAGATGCTTCCACTGAAGTGCTGAACATCTCGTTAAGGTTGTTCCGTTTACAGACAGCATGGCTGCAGCTGCACAATGCCCCTCAGCTGAATTTCTAGTGATGAGCTTGGCATTCACACTTCCTTCACAAAACTTTATTTCAGATGGCAGTTTCTCCTGAAGAAGCTATTCCAATAACATGGTAACTCGAGCTTCCTTCCCTACTCTATTCTCTAAATAATGGAGGATTCTCTCCTTTTGTTTGACCTGTTTGTCTGGCTGCCCTCTTAAAATATCCCTATTCCTTAAAAAAAAAAAAAAAAAAAGTGATGCCATATGCAAGACTTTCCGATGATACCAGTAAGTACTGAGAGTCCCTACCTGTCCTCACCCCTACACAAAGATACATCTGAAAAGTAAAAAGTGTGGCATTATTTACCCAAAGTGATACATTTTTTTCTTTTCTTTTCTTTTGGAGACAGAGTCTCATTCTGTTGCCCAGGCTGTAGTGTAGTGGTGCAATCTCAGTTCACTGCAATCTCCGCCTCCCAGTTCAAGTGATTCTCCTGCCTCAGCCTCCCAAGTAGCTAGGATTCCACGCACCCGCCACCATGCCCAGCTAATTTTTGTAATTTAGTAGAGATGAACAAGTTGGCCAGGCTGGTCTTGAACTGACCTCAGGTGATCAACCCACCTCCAAAGTGCTGGGATTACAACAGGCGTGAGTCACCATGCCCGGCCCCAAAGTGATGAAATATTTCTTCAATGGATGAAGAATATTATTGCGCTATCATCAGTATGTCACAGGGGCAAGTATAAAACTTGGTCAAGAGGCTGTTCTGGTGTGCCCTCCTCCTTAGGGAACCTAAGGGACTTTTTCTCCTTAGGGAACCAAGGGGACTTTTTCTAAAGGGGCACTATCTTCTTAATGTTATAGACATTGACTTCTACCTTGTAGAAATCTTGTCTGAGAAAATTCCAAGACAGAGTTTTACATCTTTAAAGAAATACTTTATATCTTTTTTTTGGAGACAGAGTCTCGCTCTGTCACCAGGCTGGAGTGCAGTGGCACAATCTCGGTTCACTGAAACCTCCACCTCCCAGGTTCAAGCGATTCTCCTGTCTCAGCCTCCCGAGTAGCTGGGACTACAGGCGCGCCACCATGTCCAGCTAATTTTTGT